GATTGTAATCATTTTTCCATTGTGACTTTGCTTTCGCAATCTTGCCTTGGACTTGTTGGTTCTTCTTGTGCAACTACTGTTCTCTTTGAGATTTTCTCAAACTATCAAACAACTGACATGTTTTGCCCGAGTTCGTCTCCTAACTTTTTTTTTTTTTTTTTGACACCCCTATTTCTGTAATGTGATTTTTGGGTGTTCTTAGTCCATGAGGTTCATGATTACTTCTCGTTTATGCCAGGTGCATTGAGTGAATGATTGATTGATGAGCCCTCTCAACCATATTATAACAAATTACATCCTCTCAACCCAATGACAACTACTTACCCCCCCTATCATCCCGATGACAAATAATTACCCCCTCTTACCCCGATATGAGTAAATGATTACCCCTCCCAGCCCGATGAGAACTGATTACTCGAGGTAATTGGACCCATACAAACATAACCCCCGTCAGATCGCTTGAGATAGCAGTAGTGGTGCTCACTGTCATGCAACTATAACCTCATGCGCTCTTGTTAGACCATCATAGCCTCACTATCGACTGGTTTTATTGGCAGCATTATGAATTCATTCTCCAACGATAAGCCAGGCTTAAAAAACTTCAGAAGGCAGTGCCTCGTTGTCCATTGATTTGGAGTTCAACGTGATGTTTTTTTTTTTTTTTTTCTCTCTCTCTCTTCTCTCTCTCTCTCTCTCTCTCTCTCTCTCTCTCTCTCTCTCTCTCTCTCTCTCTCTCTCTCTCTCTCTCTCTCTTTCTCTCTCGTACTTGTTCTCTCGCGTGTTGAGCGCTAGAGTCGGTCGATTGCGTCAATCAATTACGCCAGTTTCACATTCTGACAACTAATGTATTTCCTACTATTTCCTTCTTTTTTTTGTTTTTGCTCTATTTTGAAGTATTTTACCTTTCCAGTGTTCCACTAGTGAAGTTCCAAACACCATCGCTGTTGCGTTCACTTTTCTGAGTTTTTCTGTCATTGCTGTCATTTACGTGTTCAGTTTATTTTAATTGCGTTTTGCAGTAGAGGTGGTTTGGCTTTCCTGCGTGCTCCCTGCATTGATCATGAATGGGGAAGGAAGAGGAAGATGGTGAAGAGGTGATATTGCTTCAGACTCTTTAGAGTGTGGAAATTCGTGCAGTGTCTTGCTCAATGGTGTTTTCTCTTTTTTTCACAATAAAAGAATTTATATGTGATCGTGAGGCGAAAGTTAATTTTTCTGCATGACATTTTGTTTTTTTAGATTTTTTGGCTAGGAAGATTTTCACGCCCGACCGTAATGCTCGGGGGGGTCTGACACCCGGGGTACCCGGGCGTGCAAAAAAAC